TCTATGATTTGTTGAAAATATTTTCATTAAGTAAGGTAACATATTCAAATTGTGAAATATTTGTACAACTAACGTCTATATTGAAATCACCGAGGATAACACAACGTTTTTTGTTACTTGAAAAATGTTCGAGACAGACTTCAAAACTCTCCAGAAATTCATGTACAGGTGTATTGGTTTGCGATAGATAACTCTACTGTGATTTGTTTAATGCCTATTTGTATTTCCACGAATAATGATTCACAGTGACGTAAAGTAATTGAATCAATCATAGTATGTAACAAGTTTGAATGAAATTCATCCATACATGACCAAATCTGGTTCCAGAATGACAGAAATGTTTGAATTCAAAAAAATTTTAACAGTGAAATGACCATCATTTTTCCATCTTGATCATGAAATAAATAAATGTGCAGATGTGTGACATTATGTATGACGTATAACCAAAGTTTAAACATGATTGGTTGAGGCAGAAATGCTTGTCGCTGATTTTGACGAATTGTTAGCATGAGAATGTATCAGAAACTGCAATGTCAAAAATGGCCACCAATTGGCCATTTTTTTCAAATCAACAAATAACTTGATTGTCTAAGATATAACTTTGAATTTGGATTTTAGATGGTGCCTGTAGTGAAGATAAAAAGTATACATTATTAACATTGTTGTCCTTGTATAAAATTTGAATGAGAGAGGTCAATGATTGTCTGAGATATGACTTCACATTTGGTTTCTAGACGGTGCCTGAACTAAACGTATAAAGTATACATTACTAACATTGTTGGCAACATTGCAATAATAAACAAAAAATATCAATTTCAATTAGAGATTTTAATTATTAATTTCTCAATTTGTTTGCATGCATTATGGTGGTTAAGATATATTTTACTAGTATTTAAGCTTCCCAAGTCCTGGTAAAATTTTAACAATATTAAATAATAAACTTACATTTGATGGATCTGATATATTTCTTAACTGGTCAGCTGGTACATTACGAATACAGTCAATTAAATCCTTGGAAGTATCCTTGTCACATCCAACAATTTTGCCAACACCATGGGCAATCAGGTTAGACAACGTTTTATTATATTGCCACATTCCATCTATGGTTGCAGCACCACTCTATGCAAAAAATTTGAACAAAATCAGTCACAATAAACTATTAATCAAAGAAAGCTTAGAAAGAACTCCTGTGTGCTGAAGGTATTGAAAGGCATGAAGTACAAATTAAAAATACTGTATCTTCTATATAAGCTTTAATACAGCATTTACCAAAACCGAAATGTCAGATTTCATTAAGGATTATTCTATTCTATATTAGAAACACATCGTCAATACACATTTTGAAGATTGTTTTTATTGAAGGCAATATCATTGTAATATGTCTTATTTTGACAATAGACTTGTCTTTGTCATTTATATTTAGAGTAAGCATATGTGTATTTTATTTTTATCTCTTATGTATTGTATGTATTTATGTTCCTTACCATACAAAAACCCTCTGAAGGTTTTTTAGTAGTGTAATAAAGTTATTATTATTATTATTAAAAAATATAACTGCAAGCAATGATCAGGGTGGTTCCAATTAGCTATAGTTTAACAGTTAAATAATAAATAACGATTTTTTGCCTGCCCAGGGGTGGTAGTCATGACCACAACAGCCCGAGGGCAGACGATACATAAGAAACAAGAGAAAATGCTTAAAATTAGGCTAATTAGTATTGTAAATTAGGTCATTAAATTCTCAGATTTAAATTAAAATGCATGAATTTCATCCAAAAACTAATCAGGTCTGTGCATTATCCCAGCGCATCTATGAATCAAGTTTCATTGAAATCTGTTGAATAGTACATGAGAAACAAGTGAAAAAGGCTTGAAACATTTATTATTCAGTTGTTACTGAGAAGACACCTAGCCTCTTTCTGTAAGCAGAGGCCAATTTGGGTACATCATACTACTGAAAACTCACCTGCATAATAGCTCTCTTAAACAATCCTTTACTTAGAGGAGATATGGTGTGAATATGCGTACTTCCGGCGCCAGCACTCTCACCAAATATAGTAACTCTGGAAGGATCACCGCCGAATGCTAAAAAACCAAACAATCAATACGCCTCACAATTCGACACTAAGATTGTAGTTTTAAGACAAAAGTGAATGTTCTCCATGGAAGACTATGCTCTACAGAAATGGCATTGTATGTGTTTTATGGGAAGCAATAATGCTCTGTAGGAATGGCATGTGGTTTATGGAACACTATAAGCTATAGAAATTGCATCATATGCTTTCTATGGGGAACTATACTTTGTAGGAACGGCTTCACATGTCTTTATAACTATACTACTCTAAGAACAGCATCACTTGTGTTCTATGGAAGACTATACTCCAGGAATGGCATTACATGAGTTCTATGGGAATCTATACTCTGCAGGAATAGTATCACATATGTGAAATTGTATGTATTTCAATATATACATAATTTAAAATATACATTCTCTATGGGAGGCAGTCAGTATTTTAATACATGCGTAATACAGAACATCATACATTCTCTATGGGAGGCAGTCAGTATTTTAATACATGCGTAATACAGAACATCATACGTTCTCTATGGGAGGCAGTCAGTATTTTAATACATGCGTAATACAGAATATCATACGTTCTCTATGGGAGACTGTCAGTATTTTAATACATGCATATTACAGAATGTCATACGTTTTCTATGGGAGGCTGTCAGTATTTTAATACATGCATATTACAGAATATCATACGTTCTCTATGGGAGGCTGTCAGTATTTTAATACATGCGTAATACAGAATATCATACGTTCTCTATGGGAGGCTGTCAGTATTC